TTTATTTTTTTTTTTGTTATTTTTTATGCATATATTTAAGTATATATATATATATATATATATACGCACAAATCACAAATATATATACTTTTACATAATTATGTTTATATAGACACACATACATGTACTAATTTTTTAATTTTTTTAATTATATGTACAATTGATCAAAAGTTATTAAATTTATTTAAATTGAAAGAGCATGATGAAGTCATTTCCTTATCTTTTTTACACTAATGATGTTGTGTTACTTTACACTTTGGTTTCTTTTTTAATCCATTCTTACTTTTTTATAAAGTTTTCTATGAATGCTGAGTTAATAATTTACAGTTAATTAATATATTTTATCAATATCATATTTGTTATCTAATTATAATTTTATATAAGATATTATTTTAAGTTACAATACGAATAAAAAGCATTGCTGAAATTGAAGATATTGTATTTTAATTTGGAAGTATTTTAAATATTTAAATATATAATATGGTGGTTAAACATTTTTACCTTAAGTTATTATGAATAGAAAGTCACATTGTCATAAATATTCTGCATAGACAAATAAGAAATGGGGCACAGTTTTGAGGACAGATGAATTTAAATTTAATATCTTTAGATCAGATGATAAGCAGTTTGTCTGCAGACTACGAAATAAAGACTTAGACCGACATTACACTAAAAAAGCAGTTTAATATGGTGGTGGAAGCAATATGGTGTGGGAAATTAGGCCGTACGGTTAACTGAACCGAACCGTTTATTCGGTGTAAACCGAAACAAAAAAACCGTATTGGAATGAACCGATCTAAATGTGTAAAGTAAAATAAAAACCGACCGTAACCAAAAAAAAGTCTTAAAACCGGTTTAAAATTCAAATAAATTGTTTATAATTTTTATTTAATTTAAGAAAATTCAAACCACAGAAAAGCTAAGTAAAATAGGGAACAATGTAAACATTATAAAATAGTCCGCCAACCAGGGTTGCTATCTGTTTTTTTTTCAAGCCAGATTTCTCAAGTTTGGTTTGTTTTTTTTAGGTTTTGCTTGAAATTTTTTTTCTGGTTAATTTTAGAAAATATGGTTTAAATCTTTTTTTTTTTTAAAAGTGTTAGGTGTTTTTTTTTTCTTTTTGGATTATTTTATTAAATCTGGTTTAATTCTGGATTATTTTTTGTTAAATCAATTTAATTAAGCTGTTTTGTTTCATAAAAAGTGAAATAGAGCGGAACAAACATAAATGAATGAAAATTCGATTAAAATTATGAATACAAAGAAAAAAAAACGAAAATGAGTAAAACAAAATATTTTTGTGTTTCGGAGTTATAGAGTTGAGAGAGGGTTATAGCCACAAAATAAGTAGGCTCCTCGTCTGTAGTGGCCTTCTCGGCTTTGAGGAGGTGAAGTAAAATAAGAAAAAATAAAAAAAAATTTAAAAGACGATTTAATGTGAAATACTTTACGTAAAAAAGGTAAAACGAGTTTTTAATGTTTCTGCGGATAATAAAAATTTAGTAACTGTTTCTTTTCAAATAACAACTAATTAATATTTGCTTTTTTCTTAAAATATCTAATTTTAATATTGAGTAGACCTATTGGTTATCAAATTTAATAATCTGTAGCTTATACTTGATTATTTGTTATAGATTAGCATCTTTAAATTGACTATGCCAAACAAAAAACCATATGAAAACTCTCGTAGTTATCGAAGTGAGTGGGAAAAAGAATTTATCTGGGTAAAAAAAAAAGCTCTGATGCATTTGAGCAAGCTTTTGTCGCCTTTGCCGCGCTAATCTACGTCCACACAAAGGTAGCTTAGAGCAACATCAAAAAGCAGTTACACACATTAAAAGAGAAACAACATTGAATCCATTTCAAAAGAAAAAAATTTTTTCGGATCAAGTAAAAATTTCATGTGCAAACAAAAAGCAGAATTTCAGCTTGATATGTGTATCTGCTATCACTCAGCAATTTCAAACGCTGACCATTTGTGTGAAATTATTTCTAAGTTTGGTGTAGGCAGTCTCCTGGAACATCTAAACCTCCATCGCACTAAGTGTACTAAAGTAATCCAAAATGTCATCTTATCGACTCTAAAAGAATAAATATCTAAAGAAATCAAATCAAAACCGTTTTCCATTCTCATTAATGAATCAACGGATGTGAGTTCAATGAAGCACCTTGCAATATGCGTGAGATATTTTTCAGAAAAAGAGAAACATATTGTTAATGACTTTCTTGACCTCATTTAGGTGATTTTAACAAATGGCGAGGATCTTTTTAATGCTTTGAATTATAAACTCCACTCTATTAGATTAACTCTTAAAAACTGCATCGGATACAGCTCAGATGGTGCCTCAAATGTTATTGGCATACATAATTCAGTCTGGTCTCGTGTACTAACTAAATCGCCTAACTGTATTATGATAAGGTGCATTTGTCACTGACTAAATCTTGTGGTGCAAAATGTTTTTAACGATATTTCATCTCCAGTCGGCTTTCTTCTGAGCGAGGTACCCCGGTTTTTTTAACAAGAGCATTCTTATTCAAAGCGAATATGAAAAACTATGTGAACTCATGAATCCAAACAATGAACGCGTGGGAACCCTATCCCCTTTTCAAAAGTTTTCTGCAACTCGTTGGCTGGTTTGAGGAAAGTGTTTTAATAACTTGCTTGTAAATTGGCAAGAACTAAAAGCATTCTTTATTTGTGCTGAAATGAATGCAAACTCTGATGTCCGTTACAAAATCTCTTCAATAAGCAAAATGTTCCAAGACAGCACCCTGTATCTCGATGTTGTTTTTTTCACTCCAGTCATTCAAGAGTTTGAGCGTCTAAACTCTTTCTTTCAATGTTGATCCAGAAGATCTAATGAGTGAGCTAAATATGCATCTCAAAAGCTTAAAGCAGCGTGTCTTTCATACCGAAGGCTTTGTACTTCCTCTACAGTGTGTTGATTTTGGAGCCAAACTCTCCTTAGAGTGACAGATTTACACTCAAGAGCAACCTCCAAATGCAAAACTGAATGCTGAAGAATCGGTCAGAAATGTAAAAATTCGCTGTCATGGTTTTCTTCAAAAAATTATAACCGAGCTTGAAAAAAGACAACCAGATAACAGATCAATTTTTTACGGCTTATCAAACCTGTTTCCAATGAAAGTTCTTTTCCAAGTTGAAAAGGTTCTGTTTTCAAAGCTACCTTTTCCTCACCTAATGGGTACAAAAAGTCAAGAAATTGAAAATCAATACAGAAACGTGAGTACTGTTAAATGGACTGAGTCTGTCATTTTTAAAGAAAAAGATGTTCCTAAAAATACTGTTGAATTCTGGATAGCATTAAGGGACAATGTCGACATTTTTGGACATTCCGTATTTCGCGACATTCCGACTACTGCCTTGTTTGTCTGTGTGTTCCTATTTCTAACTGTTTTGTTGAGAGAGTCTTTTCACATGTCACCTATGTTAAAAGCAAACAGAGAAACAGAATGTCATACCAAGTGTTGGATACAGTCATTCGAATAAAATCTTTTTTAATGAGCTTAAAGATTTGTTGTAAAGACTTTAACATTCTCAAATTAATGATTTCAAAGGTCGGAAATGAAATTTACGCAGCAAAAGCATGCGAAAATGAAGACTAACACGTATAAGCGGAACTTTATTGAATGTTTTAAAGATTTACACTTAACAACATAAATTTTGTAATAAAATAGTTCTACTTAACTTAATTTTTTTTTTGTTTTTGTTTATTTTTGGTTTATTTTTTGTATTTTTTTGGCTTGATGCCAAAAAAAAACCTGGCAACCCTGCCGCCAACAGCTTGCCGTGAAATTAAAACAAATATTGCGGACCACGACGAAGTAAGTACTGTATAAGCTTTTTTTAAAAAGCTACATTTTTTATTTTAACCCTTTTTTGTCCACGGGATCCATATGGATACCATACTTTGAATCGAAAAAAATCAAATATCTTCTTTGCATTTGACTTTTTTTGTTTTTGTTGTGCAACATAGCATTATTCTTTTCAAAAATAAAAATAAATGTTCAGAAGAATATTCTAGATTAGCGATTTATTTTCTTACTAGCATTTGTGCAGTTTTAGAGTTAAAAAAGTAATATTTTTATTTACCACTATACATGAGGTTATTTTTAACTATTGTAATTTTTATTAATTTATTTTACCAAAGTATCATATTTTTAAAGGTTTTATATAAAATAATAATTTTATTATTTTCTAAAGTTTCTGGCATTCAAATGGATCCTCTGTACAGTAGGATGAAAATTCCGCTTACATTTTACATTTTGTAAACATTTATATTTTACATTGTATTTCTATGTTGATTTTTCGATTCTCTTTAGTGATAGTATATTGATATCAAAATATGAATAAGATAAGGTATACAGCTGATGAAGCTCTCACGATAATTTTGGAACCTTGTTCAGATTCTGAAATGTCGGATTTAGAAGATAGCAGTGATGATGATATTGAAATTTCTAAAAAACAAGACAGCAATCACATTGATAATCAAGTAACAACTATACATTTTGATGCTGATATTGAATCTGAAAATACTACTGATGTTATCGGCTGTACAAAAAATATAGACACAAAAAATATGTCAAAATTTGATAATCACGTATTTAGATGGAGATCATCACAGCTTTTCCAATTAAACACAGAGTTTCTTGGAACTAAGTTTTCTTTACCACTTAATGTTAACACTTTAACACCTTTAAACTATTTTGAAATGTTTTGGAAGCATGAAATTAACAAACATATATCAGATGAGACTAATTTGTATAGTGTGCAGAAAACATCACAAAGTATTAACACTACTGTGAAAGAAAATGAGCAGTTTATAGTCATGCACATATATGTCCTTTGTAAAAATGCCATCACATGCAATGTACTGGGCATCCGCAACAAGATATCCTCTAATTGCAGATGTAATGTCGTTGAACCGATATAAAAAGTGCGTCAATTTTTGCACCTCAATGACAACTCTAAGAAATATCAGAACGATGTAAATACAAATAACAAGTTGTTTAAGGTACAACCAATATTAGACCATTTCAGAAATAATTGTATTTTAATTGAACCAGAAGTTGAACAGTCTATAGACGAACAGGTTATACCAGCTAAAACCAAACGTAGTGGTATCAGACAGTATAATCCTAAGAAACCTACAAAATGGGGTTTCAAAAATTACGTTCGATCAGGTGCTTCTGGTTTCATGTATGATTTTTTTTATATTCAGGTGCTCCTAATAAAAATGAAAAATGCAACGGATCTTATTGTGTACAAAAGCTTAAAGAAACTTTGCCTAAAAACTCAAACTTTAGGTTATTCTCTGATAATTGGTTTTCTTCATTACAACTTTGTCTTCGTCTTAAAGAAATGGGATTCTTAGTAACTTCAACCATAAGAAGTGATCGAATTGAAAATTGCTCATTACCAACAGAAAAAGACCTAAAGAAATCTGGGAGAGGAAGTCATGCGTACAAAACTGATGTAAATTCTAACATTGTGATAACAAAATGGTTTGATAACAAGTGTGTACATATGTGTTCCAATTATGTGGATCCAAAATCAGTTTGTTCTAGTCAAAGATGGCATCAAAAAGAAAAAAAATTTGTCACAATAAATTTTCCAGAGGTTGTAAGACAATAAATAAATCAATGGGAGGAGTGGACTTGTCAGATATGGTAATCTCACTGTATAGAACATCTTGCAAAACCAAGCGCTGGTATTTAAAAGTTTTATTCTATTGTGTTGATATAGCTAAAGTAAACGCATGGCTTTTATATCGACGTCATTGCAGTCAATTACATATTCCCCAAAAAAATCAATACAGTCTTCTTAACTGTATTTCTGTCATTGCAAACGGTTTAATAAATTCTTGCCGTGTTTTACCTTCAGTTGGTCGTCCTTCTAAGCGTGCATCAAATGAGACTAACATTACTCTAAGTCTAAGAAAGCTACCTAAACATATGCCAGTAGCTGAAAATAGATCATTGGCCAGAGTTTAGAATTTTAAAAAGGAAATGCAGGTTGTGTAAAATTGGACAGAGTAGAGTCTACTGTAAAAAGTGTGACCTTTGCTTGTGTTTAAACAATACGAATAACTGTTTTTTCGATTTTCACAATGCATAATCATAAATTTATTAAAATTACGTTTGTATAATTTATGATAGTAAGTTTCTTATATTAAATATGTTGTTTGTTAACATGCGACCTACCACTCTCAATAATAATAGCTTTTACTTTTGAAACCTTGTTGTACAAAGGATCCATATGGATCCCATCAATAGGATGACTAAAAAAAAATTTTTTTAAGAACAATACTTAGTAATGTAAACTAGTTTCATAAATACACAGAATAATTTTTTGAATGAAGCTATTATTATGTGATCAATAAGGGGTTATTTAAATTTCTAATATTGTTTATAATATTTACCTTATAACATTGTTATTTTAAATTTTTTTTTTAAGTTATTTTCATTGTATAATTAGTAAAACTGATACTACCAAAAAATAAATGTTGTTTAAAAATTATTAAGCCTTTAGCCTAAACTTTAAGCTAAAGGCTTAATTTAATTATTTTACGTCTTACATGCTCCTAATGTTTAGGAGCATGCAAGACGTAAAATAATTTAATATTAGCATTGTACCAAATAATGTTCTAAAATTAAACTAAATTACTTTTTAAGGTATTTGAAAAATTCTTAAGTTAAAGTTATTTATGTTGTTATCTAGAATTATACTTTTTCAAAATTAAACTTTTATTTGTTTATTTATTAATGTTTTTTATATGGTTTGGTTGTCTCATTAATCATTTTTATTTTATTTACATTTAAGATGCCGAAAGAAAGTGATATTTGGAAACTTTTTGAAAAGTCAAGTAAATTTGAAGCAAATTGTAAGATTTGCTTCAAATCTTGATGAAAAATGATGAAATTGGGAAATTTATCATTTGAAAATCACGAGGCATTATTTGTCAACTTTTATAGTGGTGTGGATGAGAAGCTTTAAAATATCATTCAATAGTCAATCAAATTATCAAAAGTTATATTTTGTTTAAGTGCGATATTGACGCGCTGTTCGAAATTTTCCCCGCAGCCATAAATCCAAACAAAAAGAAAATCGGTGATAGATTACCACTAAATCAGGAAATTTAAATACAATAAGGGAAAATGATTGATCTTTTAATGTTTTAAAATTTTTCTAATAAAAATATTTTCTAATAAAAATTTTTTTTTAGGGTACCAGGGTTAATGTTAATTATTTTTAAAGAAAATTATTCACAAATGTGTCTAAATTTGCTTTTTTTTAGAATGGCACAAATTTTTAAAATTTAAAATGGCATCGTATTTTTAAAAAGAATGGTTAAAACTGGATCTAATTATTCGGTTTTGGAACAGCGATCTAAATCATAAATGCTTTGACTCTAAATTCTTAGGTCACCCCACAGCAAAAAATTTAAGTGAAAGTATTACAACGTTTTTATTAAAGATAAATGGCATAAATCTGACATAGCTAAGTATGGATGGTTTGAATGTGAACTGGTCTTATCTTAATTTTTTTGAAAAGCAGCGTGATCAACAAGAACTACCTAAACACATTAACGTTGGGAGTTGTAACCTTCATTACATAGAGTTGTTAAATCAGGTTTTCATTTGCTGAATGGAAATATAGGGATTTTAATAAAAGCATCATACAACCTTTTTTATGATTCTCCGGCTAGAAGAGCTAGTCATGTAACTGTTACTGAACTTGGGAATTTCGCTCAACTCGCTGGGTTAAAGACTAAAAAGTTGCAGAGAGACTTTGTTTAAATTGGGAGAATGTTGAAAAAACAACCAAGTATTGGGAGACTCTTCGTAAAAGTAACCAATCACAATGCAATAGCTATGACAGTGTTAGGGGGAACAAAGGATGAGTTAACTTTGAATAAATTTAAGTCTTTTGGTTACATTGCAAGTTTGTTGCAGAAAATCTTAATGAGATATAAAACCGATGCCCCAATGATTTCTTTTCTTTTTGAAGATTTGTTCTCAACTGTTAAAAGTTTAATGGGTTTAAATATTAAACAAGGTGTCCTTAGCAGCATCGTCAATGGCAGGCTACTTCGAAAATTGGATTTCACTAAATAGGAAAACTTTCTACCATTATAATTAATGACAATTGAATGTGATATTATGATGAGGAAAAAGGATGCGTTATCTCAGGATGTCATCAACATATTCATAAAAGATTCCTGTCTCATTATAATTGGAATCCTGGAAAAAATTTTGAAAAACTTTGAATCGCTTTTTGGAATTTGAATAAAGTTTTTAGAATTTAAAGAAAGTTTTTTTTTGAAGAAGTTTTAATCAATTTTCTTTTTTGTAAACAACTGGTTGCATCAGCCCAGTGTCAATTCTTTTTAAACAAAAAGCTGATTTTTTTCATCATACAAAATCTGTACTACGTCTAACTCTTTCTTGCTCACGTATTACTTCAAATAAATATGATCATGCTTTCATACAATTTTTAAAGAAAAAAAGAAAGTTCATTTATTCCTTTACCCACATTTAAACATTTTCAATCTGGAAATCGTTTAGACAAGTTTTATTTTGAAACCATTAAAGTTGAAAGATTTGATATATATTTTTACGTTATGGGCAAGCATCAATACACCAGTTCAAGCGAGGTTCTGCCATTCTTAATACCGCGCAAAAAAAAGTCCTGGAACGAATTTAGAAGGGTAAATATTTATTTTCTCAGTTGCGAATTAGTGATAAAATATATAGTGATAAGATGAAAGTTAATTGTGCTGTTATAGGATGTACCAATAGTTCCTATAAGCTAGAAAAACTGAAAAACAAAACGTGTTTTCAACACGAAGGGAAGATATTATCCGAGTGTGGATGTGAGTTACCATTCCGAATGTTTTGTTTCCCAAGTTTAAAGAGAAATAGCGAAAAAAAAAAACACTGGATTAGTCAGCTTAGACGAGAAGGAAAGAAGAAAGGAAGTGCATGGGAACCTGGAACTGCTGATAGAGTATGCTCTAATCATTTTGTTGATAAAATAACAACTGTTATGAACCCTAATCCAACAATAAATATGGGTTTTGATCAACCTGTACAAAAAAAAACTAGAAGAACTTTATTAAAACACCCAATCATTTTTTTACATTGTTCTAATAAAATGCAGCCTGAAGAACCTTTGTTGACTGAAAAAAGTATTGTCACCAAGTTTCCAAGTGCTAATTTTAATGCAGATGTTTTGTCACCTATATTATCAGACCATACCTATTCAATGTTTCACCACTACCCAATAAACGTACTTCATGTGAATACAAATCTTCACTTATCATCTCTTACGTGAGTAAAGTAAATAGCCTTAATAATCAATTAAAAAAGTTAAAAATAAAACAAACAGTCAAGTCTAAACAAAAATTCTCTTGGAGATTAGTTAACAATGATAAGAAAATGAACTTTTATGCTGATATATCTTCCATAGCTATTTTTAACGTTATTTTTGGTTTATTAAAACCATTTTTACCCTCAATTCGTTATTGGAGAGGCCCAAAACATTCACATTACAAAGTTTAGCAACTCAAATCTGTATCTAAATGTATACTGTTATCACACAGAGAAGAACTTTTAATGACACTTATGCGGTTGCGCTTAGGTTTATTAAATGAAGATATGGCTGATCGTTTTGGTATTTCAAAACCTTTGTGTTCTAACACTTTTACAATTTTTATTAGAATTATTGCTAATATTCTTGGACAAGCTATTATTGTTTGGCTGCCAAGTGAAGTCATAAAAAAAAAACTTGCCACAGTCTTTTGTGAAAGCAAAGCATCACAAGTGTAGAGTGATTCTTGATTGTTTTAAAATATTTATTGAACGTCCAAAGTTCCTTTACAACCAAGCAGTGACTTGTTAACAACAGTTACGGTGGTTAAAGTAACAGTTACGGTGGTTACGGTAACAGTTAACAACAGTTACAACTTGTTAACAACAGTTACGGTGGCAGAGCATCAGATGAATTTATTACAAGTGACAGTAGTTTTTATGATCTGTTGGAAAGAGACGATGAGGTGATGGCAGACAGGATTTCAAATAAGAGAAGAACTATTATATCCTTATTGCAGCTTATCAGTCCCACCAGGTGCAAGAGTAAAAAGTCAAATGACTGCAAGTGAATGTAAGAAGACTACTGATGTTGCTAACTTAAGAATTCACATAGAAAGGGCTATTAACAGAATAAAAACCTTTCGAATCTTAAAAAATGTATTACCTAGTTCAATGCTTCATCATACGGATGATATTATTTTATCGTGTGCAGCTTTGTGCAATTTAAAGCCTGCTTAAATAAAAAAAATTGTTTAAATTTGTTAAAAATGTATATATATTTGTTAATTTAGTACTACTCTTAAATATTTAATACAAGGAAGGGTGTAAATTTTATTTCTGACCTTATAAACAGGGGAATCTTATTTTAACGGTTGACTTTTTTTTTTTTTTTACAGAACATGCATAAATCAATTTAAGTTAGTGTAGATTGTGGTCAACTGAGCATCTTTAACAACTGTTTTATAATTACAATAGGATTTAGTTTTCTTGTATAAAGTGAGGAAAAGCTTATTTTATTAAAATCAAAACATTATTTTCAAAAAAGAATAAAGAGATTTTTTTAATTTTTGGTGTTAATAAATGGAAGGGAGGGGGGGGGGTGATTTTAATAAACATTTGTGGGTGGGACAACTTTTGGAAAATTACTAAACTTCCTCCCCTTCTTGTATTAAACACACGATAGTACTGAGGTTGTATTTTTTTATTTAATTACCTAAGGTTGTTTTTTTATTTTTAATTTTTAATTACTTGTAAGGGATGCCGGACACCACCGTGCACTTTTAATGAATACATGTGTTTCATTTTATTACTTTTTTTTTACTACAATAAGAGGCGTGGATAAAGTTTTTGATTTTGAGTAACTTTACTTAAATATTGCAACACCATTATTTGGATCATAT